AGCTTATAACAAATTGCCAGAAATATTGCAAGCAGCCATTAATTTACTCCAAACCAATTAAATTCAACATTAATACACGCAGTAATACACATGCACTTGTTCTTAATTTCCTTTTGTAATTAAGCATACAAGATATAGCCTTGCTTGTAAAGAATTTTAATCTTCTCTCTGATCTTTCCTTATCTTCTCTGGCCCCTACTACCAAGTAGTGAAAGTCACTTTGCCTAATATCACAGTTCTTATTTCACTTATATGATCAATGTCTTTTATACATTAATATATGCTATGCAGTAAATTTCTAGCCATCCTGAAATTTATTGTCTTATATTTGGGAGACATTTCATCTTCAGGTCAATGGTGAGGAACTCCCAGAATGTTAATAGAACATGATCTTAACAAATTTTAGCTCCATAATCAATAGCAGTTAATATACCATTCATAAGTATACATTTTCAACTGCATATTGAAACTGACCTGACCTCCAACTCAAGATATTAATATCCTTCTAAAGTCTACTCAAACCTAAAGATTATTTTGCAATTACAAGAGAATTATCATTGTTCCTTGATTTCTAATCATCTGCTAGAAATTCATATGTGAGTAAAAAATTAGGATATTAAAATCCTATGAAGATCAAGCAAATTGAACAAAATTTCTCAACCCTAGAGAGTATTTAGTAATGCGAAAAGAATTGGTATTGAGTTTCTACTGTTTCCTAGACTATTTTCAGTGGCTTTGTTTTTTAACTCTCACAAGAAAATTTCATCTCATAAAAGGAAATGGATATTCAAAGGATTAATAATTTGCCACAGGGAGGGGAAGAATTGGAATTCAAACCCAGAAGAAATATCACTCTCAATGAAATCACATTCTTTACCCACTTCAAATCTTTTACCCACTGAAGAAACTCTCCACTTGGGGAATGTTACACCCCATATACCTATGAATATTTCACACACAAATATTGCATTTGGCTTTTCTTGTTTACTCGACAGTCTAGCAAAAGCATTTTCCAGATATACGTATAAGCTGTGAAATTCTAAATGTTAAAATCTTTATGTTTCCTTGTTAGTATAATCTCTTTAAGCATTTTTCTAATATTGTGCACCTAATTATCTCCAAGTTCTTCTGATCATAGATTACTCATAAAGACATGGTTATGTTTTAGATTTAACATGTCCTCCAAAAGTCTCATATGCTCAGAGGTTGGGCTTTTGGGATGTAAAGGAATCATGGAGGTGCTGTACTGATCAGTGTTCACTGATTACTTCAGAGCTGTATGTGCTGTTAGGTGATTTCTGGACAAAAGATGTGGGTCGTTGGGGCATAACCTGGAACAATACAGCTCTTTCCCAGCTCCTCCCTTCTCTCTGCTTCGTTTCCACCATGTTGGGAGCAGCTTGACCAAGACTTTCCTGCTTTGGGGCCAGCTGACTCTGGACTGTGAACCAAAATGAATCTCTCCTCTTTTAAGTGGTAGATATCACATGTCTTGTCCTAGGAGTAAGGAAACTGATAGAGACAGATACTCATTCTGTAAGACTTTTGTTTCTATTGAATTATTTCCTTAAGATACACCTTGATTGTTATATTCACAAGACTAAAAGATATGAAATTTCAAAGCTCATGTTATACATTGCTTTTTTTTCACCAGAGCAGATACACTAATTCAAAATGAGATATTACTACTTTTTGAAAAGGAGGCAATGTACCAATAAACTCAATTAAAGCTGAAAAAAAAAAGGAGGCATTGTCAACACTCAAATTCTACAACAGCAAAAAGTTCAAGCTCCAGACATTTATTATGCAAAATGTTGTGAATTGCCCTTGAAAAGGACAGTAACAGATTTCTCTTCCTCCTGCAGCTTAAATGACATCCCAGAGGACTGAAATGGTCATTAATTTTTTAATATTATCTCTTCTGAATGAAGAGCATAATGAATTTTCTTTATATCTTCTCATAGGGTTAAGTCCTAGCCATTTTGGAAGATCTCAGGATGTCAATAGTGAACCCAGAAAAAATTAACTGGCTCCTAAATTCCACAGGAGAATATGTACCAAAAATTATTAACTTACCTAAAATATCACTTTTAATCACAACTAATACTTGTATAATACAATCTTCTTTGGACAGTATTTTCCCACATGCTTGATACGAGGGAAGAGAGTGACACATAGTTTACAAGATAGAGAATTGTTTGCCCAGAATAAATGTTGCATCTCTGTCCTTTTGAAGCTAACAATTTAGTTGGATTAAAAAGATATCACCATGTCAAACTTTAACTATTTATTAACCACTGGATCTGTAATATAAAACACCTCATATGCAAAATATGTGTGTCAATATAAAAGAAGGAAATTTTAATTATCCTGGACCCAACGGACCAGATAGTTAATATTGCTGAGATGTGGAAAATACTTTTGAGAAAAATCAGACCTGATGAAGGTCCCTGGAATTTAAGCCTTGGTTGCATTCTGTCTCTTCTATCTTCTTACCTTTAGGAGAGTCAGGAATGTGACGGAGTTACCCCACTGGCTATCGCTGGAAGTAGACCCATTTAGCAACTGAAAAGCAGAAAGTTGTGTACAATGATTCTGTCTCACTGTGTAGCAAAGGATTTCTACTGAGTCAAAACTCTTACTCAAGACTTGTGAAAAGATCAAGCTACAAAAATGGGTAGTTAAAGGAGCTGTTGAGTAAGACAACTAAATGCAGTAGATCCATTCATTCAAGAAATATTAAACAAGAAATATTGAAAAGACATCTGTCATTGGATGTTTATAAACAATAAGGTAAGAAGAAAGAAGTCATATTTGATTTTGAATATGGGACAGAAGAAATTTTTATAATTTATCCATAAAGGTACAAATTTCCAATGATAAATGTCATCATATTATATTCCTAAAATATACCAATCATCTTAATGAATTTTTAAAAAGATCAAAGAAATCCATCTGTTCCAAAGCCTTTAATGTAACTATTAAGTTCCAAAACCAGAAAAAGTGGAGTAACTTATAATAATAGGTCAATATGTGTTTAGAATCAAGATCAAATCTTAGAAGCCAGATTTTCTGCTCCTGTCAAATTATTTTAACAAATAAGCCCATGAAGATACTTTTATCACCTTTGCCTGATTGAAATTTTCAGTCCTCTTTTCTGTAAAAAAAAAGTGTAAAAAAAAAATCTCTCTGTGCACAAGTAATTTTTCCTTCTTTCTTTTGTCTAATTATACTCCAAGGCTATAAGTTTCATACCATCTAATATTTTTTTCTGCAATGAAATGAACTTGAGTAACTGATAAAACATGCTTCACAAACTATTAAAGTGGCTCTAATAGTAGTAAAACTACTAAGTATGTATTATTCAATATGATAACCACTAGCTGCATATGGTTAATTGGTTTAAATTTAAATTACATAAAATTATTCAACTGCTCACTCACACCAGCCAAATTTACACATCTTTGGTAACCACAAGTAGCCACTGGTTTCCATGTTGTACAATCCACATACAGAACATTTACATCTTGACAAATGTTCCAAGTACTATTTAAAATGATAAGGCCACTTCCCACCTGGCACAAAATAAATTAACTCACAAAATGCATTTTTTTCAATATCCACTTCCTTGAATAATAAGATATTTACATAGAGATATACAGGAAGAAGAATTTTACTGAGAAGTAGTATGAGAGATTCAATCTATGTTCTTCTGCATTCCTGCTTGCAAAATTAAGTGCTTAAACGGCATTCTTTGAATTCCTCAGATGCTCAAATCTTTCTCTCCTTATGACTATAGTTTTATAGCTTTTACAGAAGTCCCATGAGATGATTTATGAAGAAATAGCATTAATATTCAGTATGTTGCCTATTCTACTGCACATGTTATATATAAAATACACAAACAGTGTACATTAAAGGAAAAGCAAATGATTATTTAGGAAGGAATGTTATTCCCAAGAGAGTATTCAAGTGAAAGAGCATAAAAGTTGATAGTTTTGACTACAGTATTACATTTAGCACATCGTTTTTCCAAATTAGAGAATTTTGTAGAAAATTGTGCAAATATAGTGACACTTATAATAGTGAAAAATGTTAAAAACCTGCATGACCATCAAAATAATATTAGTAAAATAAAATTATCATGCCCATATAAGGTGATGTTACTTAGACATGAAAGAGGGTGATCATAACAGCTGAAAATGTAGTCTTCTAAGCAGGATCATTGTGATTTCATATAGTGAAAACAAAATGACTGCACATATAAACAAAATAGAAAGATAAACACAAAGGTATTAATGTTAAGTATTTCTGTTTAATAGTCTGTTGTATTAATTCTCTCTCTCTCCTTTGTCTGTCAATGCTGTTCTTTTCTATAGTGAATATATAGTATACTGAATATACTATAATATACTTTTCTATACTGAATATAACCTGAAATGTGCAATATACTTTTTAATTACAAAATAAAATATTTTACCTTCACAGAGGTCAGATTTCAAAGAGTAAATCCATGAATACATAAGCAAGTGAATAAATACAAAAATAAATATAGATAATGTTACTATCACAACTGAAATATAATCATCTTAGTCTCAGTTTGTAATAAATGAGAGTCTTATTATTTTTTAGCCCTGACTGGACTCAAGCTATCACTTAGTTACTAGCCATGATTAATAGTATAAAGGAATTGATAAAAAGAACAAAGGGACATTATAAATAAAAAGTAAAACATAGGGCTGGGGAGTGTAGCTCAGTAGCAGGGCACTTACTGGGCACACATGAGACCCTGGGCGCAATACTTGGTGCTTCAGAAATGTTTAAAAATTAAGTAAAAATTAATGCCGGGGATTTAGCTCAGCAGTTCAGTGGCCTGTCTTACAAGCGCAAGGACCAGAGTTCAATCCCCGGTACCAAAAAAAATAAATAATAAGAATTAAGTAAAAATTAAATAAAAATAGAACCTAGACAATATAGGTTTACTTTGTACCAAGGTGTCCTATTAGTCAAAAGACTATTCCAAAAGTTGAGTTTTAATTGAATAAAAAAAAAAAACTTTTAAAGGTGAAACTTAAATGAGTATTGATTCATTTAAGCTGGGCTACATTTCTATTAGCATGCTTATCAGCTTTTCTTATCTTTCTTCTTTTTAAATTGCCTGTGCAAATTACAGACAAAACATGAATTTTCCAAAGGGCACCATTTTTACAGAAACTGAAAAATTGTAAGTTTTTCTCCTCTTTTACTCTGAACCTTAATGAGATCAGGTACATATGATTACTACAAACAGAGGAGAGAAGAAAGAAGCATGAATGGAGAGGTGGTGAAGGAAGCAAAATTCTAAACCATTTCAGTGGAGTAAAGATCAATTTCATTTTAATATAATTTTTAATGGTTGTTCAAACTCCTATAATGCACCCACACAAAAGGCTTCCGTTAATGTGCGTGTATTTTGAGCAGTTCCCCTCTTCGACCCTTGAGTTTAATTTCCGTCCTTCAAATGAGATGAATGGAGCGTGAAGCAGGTCATATCTCAATGCTGACACATGGGTTGCAGATAGAACTCGCAGCCTGCAGAAGCGGCCAGTTTAGAGATTAAATCAAAGCAGCTCTGAATAGATGGGAGGTCATCCAGGGCCAGCTTTGACATTTGATAGGACCTTGTGATCAATCAGGCCTTTCTTCACTCTCCCAGGCATCCTGATGACAGTGGCCCTAAAAAACAGATGGGATATGTTACAAAGTGCAGGAGAAGCACTAGATTGTGAAAGGAGATAGGTGTCCACGTTATCAAAGGGACAACTGTTATTGGAAGCAGCCAGCAAATCAGGAGCCTCTACTTTGCTGCCATTACTCTGTTCAAGTTTACCTTTCACGATGTGAAACAAGAACTTGGGAATGAAATCATTTTTAAATTGCTTTTTAAAAAATTCTTACATTTTATGCATTAAACTTTAAACTTTGGATGTCCCTGAATTTATAAGATTGAATTTTAGCCAGTCTTCACTCTGTTGATAAGGAGTGTTTCCAAAAGGCCAAGCTTTGTTTTTGCTTCATTTACTTGCTGAGAAATACATGTTTGTGCACATGCGCAGGGACACACACACACACACACACACACACACACACACAACAGGATAACCTCTGAAAGAGTGGAATTGAGGCTACTAAAGCAAGGACTCACCAGACAGGGACCTGTGCAAGGTTTCAGGAAAGCCCAGTCACATTGCCAAGAGGGTCGTGAAAAATGCATGGCCCTAGGGCACCACAGTGACGACTGTTTCAGTGTGTGGTAATGGCCTGAAAGGCAGGCTGTGGGTTTCACTCCATTTGTGACGCCTGCCTGATTTAAAGGAGATGCCTTTTATGAGGTGACATGAGAGCAAATTATTTCCAGGACTATCCCAGCTCTCTCTGCCCCTACCCTACCTCTGCTTTGGCTGCCCTCATCCCAGCCATATAAACATGCAGTCATGTTTCCGTAAGCATGTTCCTGAAATTCGCCTGTCATAAACCATTTCACCATTGCAGCTGACCCCTCCAAAATTCACTCCAGTTCACAGTGGGATGAGAAAGGTGGAAGCCAGACCTAAAGAGAGCTTCAGTAAGGGAGGATGCGAGACTATCTCCTCCGCCTTTCCTCTGCCCACCGTCTGGAAATCTCACCTCCCCCGCTATGTGGCCTGAGAGACAGTGATTGGGTCGATACGCGAAGTGCGTTTCTGGAGTCGGATATTTGTTTGACGTGGACTCAGTGATCACAAGGAAGATAGCATCTGAAATATATTTTTGCTCAGTTACAGGATCTGTCATAGTCAACTATGTGTGTGGAATTACTCAACTGTGCTATTTCTAATGAAATACTAACCAACTCACATTTTATCCAAGTTACATTCCAACACCAGTGTATACAATTCTAATAGGATAGATACATAAAACAATCAAAAAATTCTAACCAACTGATCAGATGTTATGAAATTTAATTATTAAAAATAATTGCAAGTAATTTGTTGAGATGACTATTGCCATAAGAATGTGAAAAATCTCACCTGGGGGGAAAGTATTCATATCTCTCTGAAGAGTCATCACAGAGTACATAGTTTATAATATATTATTTAAGTCACTTCAGGTATTAAATAAAAATAAACTTTAGGGCCAGGTATTTAGCTCAGCGGTTCCGCCACCTGCCTTGCAAGTGCAAGGGCCTGAGTTCAATCCCTGGTACCAAATAAATAAATAAATAAATAAATAAAATCTTATATTTCCCAGTAGTCTATTGATAAATATATATATATATACATTATTATATATACATTCCAACCAAATTAATTCAGCCGCCATTTTAATATGGCAGCAGTAGTACATCCATGGCTAAAGTTTCTGCAGTGCCATGTGCTCATGGTCTGTGTCAGAGGCTTTTGTGAGAACACAGTACATTTACCTTGTTGTAACTTTCCAGAAAGAATGACAGCACATCTGAGAAGCTTTGTACTATCAAATGTGTGTGTTTAATTTATGCAAATTGTGTCCTGATTCTGCCCCCAAGTGCTCAGATGTTTGTGAGAATTTAGAGGATATTTACAGAGAAGCATTTTTTCTGAACAATTTTATCATTCAAATGTGGCACAGATCTTCCAAAATGGTAATTCTCTCTAGCAAGCTAATCCTTCAAGGAGTTTTTATGTCTCAGAAAAAGCTGTGCATAATCAAAAGACTCTACAAAATGCATGTTAGTTTGAGTCACTCTCTATAATTCCATTTAACTATTGCCAACTCCAAAAACAGCCACAATTTCCCTGTAACTTGTGAACATCAGATAAAGAATGCAGAAAGAATTGGCAGTTGGCAGTTGAGTAGCTGAAAGAGGAAGGAAAAAAGCTTTGCTGGTGTTTTCCAATTAATTTTCTTCTCATGTGAAAAATGTGAAAAGAAAAAAACAAGAAAACTGGAAGTGACCTGAAAACCCTGGTATGATAAGATAAACTTTGGCCTACACATCATCATGTGACTGAATGTATAATCTAGGTGTGAGAAAGATGGCTCAAAAAATCATGGAATGGATTTCCCAACAATTATTTTTTAAAATTATGCTAATGTTAAAAGTGATGGAGAAAGGATTAAATTTCAAAGAAATGAAGTCTTGGAAAATTAACAAGAACAAAAAGCAATGATTATTTAGTAAAGAAACTTAAACAAAACTCTAGTTTTAAAAATTATGCTAATAACAAATTCTGAGAAAAAAATCCGATTGCTGGCAAAGAACAAAGGCACTTGTTAATATCAGGGAAACTCAACTGTTTTTCTAAAGTAAACTAATCAATGGCATTTTTCAGAATGAATTTAGATGTATAATATATCTAGTAAATGCTCTAGCACATAACAGTTTACCACACATGCTTGCCTCTTTCCCTTAGCAAGAAACAGAGCAGTAATCTTGGTTATAAGCATCACCAGGGAGGTTTTATTCCTCTCAGCCAAATGTCTTTGTAAATCCTGATTTATCCTTTATAATCATGAACTACTGAACCTGCCGATCCATACAACTGGCCAATTCAAATGCCTCTCACATTTGGAACATCATTTAAGATCAACCAAGTTTTCTTAGAAGCAGAGGTAATAACCTAATTGCAGGATTCATTTCAGTTTGGTCATTCACCTCTTCAAAAATATCATAGACTCAGATTTGGCAAAGTGGACTCTGAATTCAAAACCTCCATTGCATGTATAGAAAATCCTTTTCCAGGTTCTTTTATTATTATTGGAGCTACATCCCCAGACCTACCTTCCACCCATCTTTTAAAATTTTGAGATGGTCTCACTAAATTCTCCATTCTGAATTTGAATTTAAGGTCCTCCTGGCTCAGCCATCAGGGTGCTGGGATGATCGGTGTGTGCCACTATGCTGGCCCCGGTTCTGTTTTTTAAGTATTGAGACATGAAGCAAATCCACCCATTGCCATTTGCTAGTCTATTCATGCAAAGCAGCACAGATCTTTGCCTAGAAGGGTGAAGTGCTCAGGCACCTCTTGTAAATAGGCACTCCTAAGCTCAAGTTTTAGATCTACTTCTTACCAAAGTGTGACATTGGCCAAGCCCCATTAAAGTAGGAATAACGATGATTCCTATTTCTAAAAGATGATTTGAAGACTATATCTGTAATGATTATGAAAAGCAAGTTTCAGCATTACTGGCACACATAAAGCTTGCACTAAAGGTTAGCTACTGTTAGACCTGAATCCAACCCATCTTATCTTTGAGCACTCTAGACTGGGAGAATTCCAAGAGCCCTCATGACCTTTTTAGCTATCATTTTGTATCTGAAGGAATTAATTAATCCAAAGATCAGTTTAGTCAATGGAGATATAAGAGACCAAAGTAGAGGATGGTGCTCTTTAAGTGGTAACTAAAAGAGTCATTAATAATGTCATCCTATTAAACAGATTAAAATTGCTTCTTCATAAAATGTTAGATGATAACAATTAGTACATTATACTACAATATATCCTTTTAGAATATTAATACATTTTATCTACTTTTGAATGATATATTATCTCAAACTTGTTCAGTAGTAAGTGTAGGTTTCAAGTCCAGGAACAGCTGAGATGAGTGGTTTGGAGTCAGATTTTCTTATAAACTGCGATCAAGATTTTGGTTGGGGCTGCAGTTATCTCAAGGATGGGTGTGGGGAGATTTGCTTCAACCTTATTCACAGAGCTTTCACCAGGCCTCACAAAGTTGACTTTAAAGCTTTCTCTCATAGGACTTGCCACAGGGCTGCCTTATGGCACAGCAGCTGTCTTTCTCTGGGGCAAACCATCAAAACAGAATGAAAGAGGTCCTCCTTCTCAGAAGAAAACAACCTGAGCAACCACAGTTATGCAGAAGTAGCATCCTATCACCTCTGAGGCAATAAACCTATTAAACAGGAAAAAGTAATAAAAGGTATGAATTTCAGGAGACAAGGATCATGGGGGCAATGTCAGAGGCTAACCACACAAAGAAGTGGCATCCTATCACCTCTGCTGTATTTTATTTGTTGGGTAGGAGGCAATAAAGCCCACCCACACTCAACAGGAAATAATAATGAAAGATGTGAATTTTAGGAGGCAAGAATCCTGGGGGACTTGTCAGTCTTTCTATCCCCCAACCATCAAAGAGTTAAGTCCCTCTCAAATGCAAAATATACATGCTGCCCTCCAAATCCCTCAAAGCTCTTATCTCATTACAATATTAGCTTAAAGTTCAGATCTCATCATCTAAATCAAGCCCAGGTACAGCTCCTTCAGCAGAACTCTCCAAGTACTGTTCTTTGTAGACCTGTGAAACAACAAAGGCAAATTGTAAGCTCCTTTGCCAATACAAAATGATGGGACACAGGTAAGATAACCATAAAATATAGTCTTGTTCAAGTAAGAGTGGGAATAAAGGACACCAGGATTAATGATCCATAGTAATTCCAAAATCTAGCCAGCTTTTGAAATGTTGGAATATCCTTGATTAGAGCTCATATTTAGAATAATTTTCCATGCCCCCCCCGCCCTGCCTTTTAGACTTGGCTGTGCCCTGTTGGTCTTCTTTCTATTTTTGCTAAATATAGCAAGTGTAAAAATTCTGGGAAGTCAATGTCCCATCTTTGCTCTATACTGTTTCCTTCCCTCTTGGTCCACATGATAACGTATCTGCATATCATCTCTTTCGACAACTCTGTAGAACCT